GGGGGGGGCAGAAGAGGTTGCTCCTATTGCACAAACAGAGCCGAGCTGTATTGACCCACTCGCGAGCTACCTGCTTCACGAAACCCGATCTGCAGATTGCAACGTGGCCAGAAGGGTAGAGCGATAGACAGCCAAGTACGTCATGATAGACGGATGGCTGTACTGGAGATCCTACACGCTCCCCTACTTGCGCTGCTTGCGACCTTCAGAGGCTGAGCTCGTTCTAGATAACACTCATGAAGGCCTGTGTGGCAGACACTTGGGAGGTAGGGCTCTCACCTAGAAAGCACTACGAAAAGGATATTACTGGCCCACGATGAAGGCAGACGCACTCGAGTTTGTCAAGAAATGCGATAAATGCCAGAGGCACGCCAACATCCATCACCAACCTGCTACCGACCTGATGTACCTCACTAGCCCATGGCCCTTCGCACAATGGGGAATCGACATTCTTGGACCATTCCCGCCAGCGACAAGACAGAGGAAATTCCTGGTGGTAGCAGTGGATTACTTTACAAAGTGGGTAGAGGTGGAACCCCTAGCAACAATCATAGCTCGAACTGTACAAAACTTCTTTTAGAAGAGCATAGTATGCTTTTTCGGACTACCTTGAGTGCTCATCTCTGACAACGGTAAGCGGTTCGTAGATATCAAGTTCCAAAACTGGTGTGCCAAGATGGGGATACAGTAGTACTTCACTTCGGTAGCACATCCTCAGGCAAACGGGAAAACAGAAGTCACGAACAGAGTCATACTCCGCGGACTAAAAGCTCGCTTAGCCCGAGCTAAGGGACTCTGGGTAGACGAGCTGCCCAACGTACTATGTGCTTACCAAACCATTGTCAAGACCGCCACAGGTGAAATCCCCTTCAACCTCACCTATGGCACGAAAGCAGTAATCCCAGCCGAGATCGAAGTACCTACATTACGCCTAGAGGCATACGACGACGAAGAAAACGATAACGAGCTCCGTACCAACCTTGATCTGGCAGAAGAAGTATAAGACCTCGCATATATCCGGACCGCAGCCTACCAGCAAAGAGTGGATCGGTACTATAACGCCAGGGTCAAGAAGCGGCACTTCCGTGTCGGGGACCTGGTCCTTTGGAAAGTTATGGTTCCTAAGCCCGGTGTAGGTAAGCTCGGACCAAACTGGGAAGGGCCCTACCGAGTAAAGCGGGTACTTGTGGAAGGTACGTATGAGCTTGAAACCTTTGAAGGAAAGCAAGTACCTCGGGCGTGGAACATCCGCAATCTAAGGCGATACTACCTGTAATTGCCGAACTGAAGAACGGACTGTGAGTCACTCCCAAAAGTCCAAACTAAAAGGCCGTGTTAACAAATGACCTCGGCACGAGCTAAGTCCCCGTCGCCTCTTCGGCATGGGCTCCTAAGTTCCAATCGCCTCTTCGGCATGGGCAAGCTAAGTCCCAGTCGACTCTTCGACATGGGAACCTAAGTCCCAGTCGCCTCTTCGGCATGGGCAAGCTAAGTCCCAGTCGCCTCTTCAGCCTGGGCACCTAAGTCCCAGTCGCCTCTTCAGCATGGGCACCTAAGTCCCAGTCGCCTCTTCAGCATGGGCACCTAAGTCCCTATCGCCTCTTCGGCATGGGCAAGCTAAGTCCCAGTCACTTCGGAATGGGCACCTAAGTCCCAGTCGCCTCTTCGGCATGGGCAAGCTAAGTCCCAGTCGCCTCTTTGACATGGGCACCTAAGTCCCAATCGCCTCTTCGGCATGGGCACCTAAGTCCCAGTCGCCTCTTTGGCATGGCTGAGCTAAGTCCCAGTCACCTCTTCGGCATGGACACCTAAGTCCCAGTCGCCTCTTCGGCATGGGCAAGCTAAGTCCTAGTCGCTTTGGAATGGGCACCTAAGTCCCAGTCGCATCTTCGGCATGGGCAAGCTAAGTCCCAGTCGCCTCTTCGACATGGGCACCTAAGTCCCAATCGCCTATTCGGCATGGGCAAGCTAAGTCTAAGTCGCCTCTTCGGCATGGGCACCTAAGTCCCAGTTGCCTCTTCGGCATGGGCGAGCTAAGTCCCAGTCGCCTCTTCGGCATGGACACCTAAGTCCCAGTCGCCTCTTCGGCATGGGCAAGCTAAGTCCTGGTCTTCTCTTCAACATGGGCACCTAAGTCCCAGTTGCCTCTTCAGCATGGGTGAACTAAGTCCTAGTCACCTCCTTGGCATGGGCATCTAAGACCTAGTCGCCTCTTTGGCATAAGCAAGTTACTTCTAATGCCTAAGGCATAGACAACTCGGGTATAAACCCTACGATGTCTATACCACCTCGGCAACAATCACAGTTCGGGTCTGCCAGGGGACCAACATTTAAATAAGTAGTCCGTGCACGAATAGATCAGGTATATACCCTGCAATAGCGCTCACCTTGGCATGCCTTACGTCAAGTTGCCCCTACTAATAGTCTGAGTAGACAGTTCGGGGTAACAAACACTTAGACAAATTTTTACTTTGGTTATCCTTACTTGTTGTCCAGCTCGGTAGCTCGGCAATTCGGGTAACCTATACAATTTCTACTTTGCACAAAGATTGCTCAGAAAAAGTTATATTTCATTGATTGAAAAAGTGTGAGTACAGAGACTTTGTTGTAACCCGAGCTCGGTGGCCTCGGGGCATACATTCAAAACACAGAAAAAAGAAAGAGCCAGAATCACTTAGAAGGATTGTCAGCTGGGTCGGTCTCCATGTCCTCCTGACCTGAGGGGCCCGCCTCTTCGGCTTCATCATCACTTTCCTCCTCGGATGAGCTGGGCTCTTCGTTCGCCACCTTCGCCACCTCGGGAGTAAGGCCTGACATAGTAAGGACTCCAGGATCAAGGTCAGGGAACTTCTGCCGCACTAAGAGGATTCCATGAAGCATTCCACAGCGCGGCTTCTTTCCTCAGCTCGTGCCTCTTGGATAGCGGTCTCGAAGATCTCAGCCCGCTCCTGAATCATCGCTTCAAGACTCTCATTTTCTCGTTGAAGCTTCGCCTTCTCCTCGGTCAGTGTCGAGATCTGCTCCTGTTGCTTCGTTTTCTCCTCAGTCAGTGCGGAGATTAGTTCCTGCTGCTTCTCCTTCTCCTCCGTCATGGCCAAAATCAGCTCCTTCTGACTTCGGGCTTCATTATTGGCTTGAAGTATTTCACCCCGAGCTAGGTCCAGTTCGCGGTGAAGCTCACGTGCCTTTTCTTCGGCTTCCAGAGCCCGCTTCAGATAGATCTCAGACTGGCACATCAACGATTGAATGGCGGAGTTCACCTAGCAAACAAAACCCAAGTAAGTACATTTGAAATTAACAAAGAAATAAACTGTAAAGTAAGGTACTTACTACCATGTAGTAACCGGCACCTCGTCAGGGAAGGCAGCATCCCTGCTCTTGCGCATTGCGAGCTTAAGAGTCATTATGCTCTGATTGGAAGGTCTGGACCTTGGTGCAGAAGTGCTCTCCAGTCTGCGAGGTTGGACACTCTCCCGCTCGGGTACAAAAGTGCTCCCCGGTTCACGAGTTTGAGCACCCTCCTCTTGGTCGCCATCCAGGTCCACAACGGGGGGTTGAGGATGAACCTCCTCATCGGGGAGCTCAGTAGAGATTGGCTCCACAGCCAAGACCTCAGATGGGCCAGGGGCTGAAGGACCGGCCTCCCGGCGAAGCCTCTTCGATGCCTTCCTCTTCTTCCCTCTCTGAGAGCTCTTGAGAAGGCTCTCGGCATCGACCTCCGACATGGCAACTGCAAGAGCAAAAGGTTAGCCGTGAATTAAAAAGAACTTTAAAATAAAGAACCAAGGTGAAAACCTACCAGGAGGGCTCAAACCAGCTCGCACAAGCTTCTCCTCGGCCTAGAAATCCTTCATCTCGAGGCTGAGGTCCCTCCACGAGTTGATGACTGCCCTAGTTTTTGCATCCAAGCTCACCCCGGGATCCTTGATAGCTACCCTCCAGTGGGTTGGAAAAGACCACCCTTTAGGATTTTGGACAATGAAATACCTCCTTTTCCAGGATGGAACCTTGTTCGGGCAGCTGAGCAGGATTTTGAAACCAGGCTGAGGTGAGATGTAATAGCTTTGTCTGACGTTTCCGCGCAGACAAGCAGAGTTTTGCTTGATCGCACAGAGAGCTGAAGGTGTCTAAGGACAGAGGTTGGTTGTGTGTGTGGAACAAAGAGATAGTACCAACTATATTCTGAATAGAGTTCGGATGTAGCTGGTCGATGGTAATGTTAAAAAACTTAACCACCTCTATAATGAAAGGGTGAAGCGGGAAGTGTAGCCCGACCGCGAGCTACTCCTCAAAGACCGCAAGCTCATGGTGATCATGAGCCCAAGGGTATTGACCTAAGGGAAGGCTAAAAACCAAGCTATCGGGAAGACGATAGCGAGCTACAAGGTACATTAGCCTATCAGAAGTTAGGGTAGAAGGACCGAAGTCATCTGGATCCCGAGCCCGAGAAAAAGATGGGGCCTCTGCCCTAGAGGACGGACCCTTTAACTGAACCTCAGTCTCCCTGAGCTGAGATGGCTCAACTTTGGGAGCAGAAGCTTCCACTAAAGACTGAAGAAGGGAGTCACCCTGCGGTGAGCTGACCTCCCCAGCAGGGGCCACGGATTGCACCACGACACCCTCAACCTTGCTAGAACTACCCAAAAGTTTGTCTACGCTAGAACTGGACATGATTAAAAAACAAAGGAAGAACAGAAAAACATAGACTCACCGAAAAGAAGAATGACCTCGGAAAACAAAGAGAAGAGCGAGCTAAAGGATTCCGATGCAACCTCAGAACAGACTTGTGAATTTGTGGCGAGAAAAATGAGTCGCGGACCCCCTATTTGTAGCCACTCTACCGAAGAATCAACAGTCAAGATTAGAGCAATCTAACGACTCTTAAGAAAACCAATTGTACGACCCTCGAGGTCGAAATCAGTTTAGCGCATTTTTTGGCGTCCGCGGAATTTGTAGATCGTGTGACGTCCGCGCGTAGGCCAGGCGCGACCTGGGTTTTTCTGGTTGAGCCAAGTGGTTGAACAAGTCTGACCCGTGAATCATCTGGCTAGCTGCCCAGACATCGGACCAAATCCACTTGGCTCGTCATGAACTCCCCGCACCGGGTCAAGACCCCTGGCTCGGGGAGTGGGGGCAATTGATGAAGGGAAGTTTGGCCCGACCTCGTAACAGGGAGACACGTGGACATGAATCGGCATAAGTGACAACTCGGCGTGATCAGATCGGCGCGTGGATGTGACTAGACACAAATGACAGCTCAGCATGATCAGTTCGCTACAAAGCAACCTCGGTTACCCTGTTACCCCGAACTAGAGTTACTTCGAGCTAAGATCATCTCGAACTAGGATCACCTCAGTACCAGTTCGCGACTAGGATAACGGTACCAAGTCCACTGCAGATTGAGCTCGGACAGCTAGGCCCACCTCGAAAAGAGTTCACCTCGGGACAAGCCTACCTTGGTGCAAGATCATCTCAGTAGTAAGGCACTTCGGCATTCAAAGTAGGTCAGGTCTGAAGAATACGAGCTCAGGCAGCTTGCCACCATGTAGCCCAGCACTTCACAGGCAGCTCGCTACCTAGTCAGGCCGACCTCCACGTGACAACCCCGAGGAGCTCACCACCGTACCCCGCATCTTACGGGATTGTACCTTAACGGTTATATTAGCTCACCCACTCCCCGATTCAGACGGAGATGGGCAACCTTACCGGTTGGTGGCATTATCCCCACCTAACACGAAAGCGGATCCCATCACAGCGAGGATCCAGGAACTGCTCCACCAAACCCTTAGGGACTCCAGTATATAAAGACCTCACCCCCCAGGGGCGAAGGTATGATGTGTAATCTTTACTCTCTAGCTCTCTAATTCTTTGATATCATCTTCAAACTCTCTACTACGTGCTAACTTAGCCATCGGAGTGTCCCCGCCGGGTAAGCCACCCTAGGATCTCTGATTCATCTCTTGCAGGTTACTCAGTCCCCGTTGTTGCTCCAGCAGGGAGCAGCCGGATTACAACACATCAAGTTCAATTTACATTTTTTTATCCTCATAGTGAAAGAGCAACCAAATTCAAAAGTAGGGGTGTTTTAGTAAAGAAAAAGTCTACAAACCTTGTTTCCTATTTAGAATGAACCAAGGATTAAAGTATCGGTATCAGGTATCGTATTAGACCACTTGGATATGGATACACTTTGGAAACACATGGATATGGATGAAAAAACATGGAGATGCTTGGATACATTAGGAAATGCATATAAATTCCATAAATATATTAATAACATTACATTTAATGTTATAATAGTCAAAATTAATGTCTAAATGCATAGGAAATGTATATTCTAATGGCATTTGTGAATACATATATTACAATTAATATAGCAGGATGCATAGAAATCATACAATTTTTATTAATAATGTATCAATCTAGAGTCCTAAAACATATTATATAAATTTTCACAAATTAATACATGTACAAAGCTATTATTTATTTTCAATTCAAGTTCATTTCACAAAACACATGCAACTATTATATGTAATTATTATATCAATTATTTTTTATTTTTACACTTTAACATTAACAAAATAATCAACTAAAAATTAATTATTCTTTTTATTTTTGTAAACAATAAAACTGTTATTATAAAATGTAATTAAAATACCATTTAATAATTTATAAAAATATATAATCTTAACTTAAACTATCTCAAATATACTAAAATTTCTAAGATACATATCATATGCAAATTCATAATTTTTAATTACTAAAATTATTATTATTATTATATTATTAATATTTTTATTTTTATAATTTTATGAAACAAATTATCATTTCTGTAAATAATAAATATATTTTTATTTAATGCAAACTAAAATATTAATTAATAATTATCAGAATTTTAAGATACATTTCACATTCAAATTTATAAATTTTAAGTACTAAAATTATAATTCTATTATTAATATTTTTATTTGTATAAATTTTTTGAGATTAAAAACCTCTTTTTGATATGGATGTGGATTTGAGAAATTATTTACTCCATTAGTTTATAAAAATATTAATTTTGAATAACTTTTTTTAATCTTTACTTTGAATTATTGAACATAAACATAAGTTATTTGTTAGGATTACGTGTAGGCATTAAATAAAGAATTATTTTATTTCATTTACTAACGAAAGCTAACGGTTGTCTTAGTGGAATATAGGTGTGTTCAAGTTTGAAGCACAGAGTGATTTGGGTTTCCCGTATCTTGTATGACCTATACTGATGCGATATGCCCCAAATCGGGCATATCGTATTGATATTTAAATCCTTGGAATGAATTACACTTGAGTAAAAAAAAACTATAATCTGAACCTATTTCCCACTTGGGTTTGACTATGATGCTGAAAATACATGATATTAGAACATGTAAAAAGTAGAAATCAACCAATTGGGTTTTTATCAAAATTCGGAAGGGTTCCAGTGTCATATCTTTCCGGTATCATAGATTTTTCCTTACCACTTTTAAAAGTAGTACAGATGGGAGTTTAAAAAGTTAGTAAACAAAAACTTTGTTTTTGATATTTAAAAAAAATCAAAAGGTCAACTTCTCTTGATTTTCATTAGAGAGCCATCCGATTAATGGTTTGGCTAATACCGAACCTTGTCCACTTGTCACAAATTCAATGGACTTCAAAAAATCCCTTATGAAGTCCAATTGCATTGGACTGGAACTGCTCTTCTATAGATTTTTTTTTTTCAATCAATAGAGGCGATTTAAAAAGGATGCCATGTTTTAGTAGATTTTATACAAAAAAATTTTATAATGATATATAACTGATCAAATTGAGATTTAGTTCATTTAATCATTATTTCTTTTCATATATTTATAATCCATTTACAAATTTTGTTCCCTTTGAATGGGAGGAAAATTTACATATATAGTAGTTAGACATGTTTACAGGCCGAGCTTCAGTAATGACTTTACACTATGTCGGCCTTGGGCTTCGGGCCAGGCCTATTCAAATTTTGGCAAAAGATAGGCCTGAGCCTGGTCCATGAACTTGTCTAATAGTGGTGTATGTGTAGAAGTGTACATCAGGTCGTGCCGCCCATAGCCCGACACAAACTTGGACCGGCCCGGCATGATGGTCCGTGGGCCATGCCAGGCTATTAGTTAGACATGTTCACAGGTCGAACTTCGGGCATGACTTTACACTATGTCAGGCTCAGGCTTTGGGCTGGGCCCATTCAAATTTTGGCAAAAGCTAGGCCCGAGCCTGGCCCATGAACATGTCTAATAGTGGTGTATGTGTAGAGGTGTAAATCGAGTCGTGCTGCCCATGGCCCGACACAAACTTGGACCGGCCCGACATGATGGTCTACGGGCCATGCCAAGCTCGACACAATCATGCAGGTCATGCTGGGCCTAGGGTTTTAGGTCCATGGACCGGCACGACACGACACAACTGAGCGGGCCGTGCTGTCCATGGCCCGGGCCAGCATGACCCATATATATATTTTATACATATTATATATATTTATATAATATTATATAAATTATAATTATATAATAATATATAGTATATAATATATTAATAAAATAAATAATTTTTTCTAATTTTATTATACTAATTTATTTAATTATTGTATATATAAGCAATTATATACACAAAATTCATATAAAATTAAAATTTTAAGTTTTTTATCAATTTTTTTAAATAAATAGCTTTAGCCCGATGCATAGCTCGACTTGGCCCAAGGCTTGGCCCACGAGCCAACCTGGTCTGCAGCGTGGGCCTGCACGGGTCTGAGTCATGGGCCGTATCCGGCTAACTCCCAAAATTTTCACTAGGGAGGGCGGCACAGCCCGTAACAGTTTGTACTTTGCACGGGCCGCCCACGGGCCATGCCGTGCCAGCCGCACGACCCACTTTACACCTCTATGTATGTGAAGGAGAGGGTATGTTTCTTTTTGATTGGGTGAATTTTAATGGAATGATGAGGTGGCATCTATACACATCATGACTTCTATGGTTCAACAATGACTATTACAATGTCAACTATCTTAATTATGATGCTTTATCAAAGTACACCTTTGTCCTCAAGAAATTCAATAGTTTATGTCCAATGAAAATTCTAGAAAATTCGCACTTTTATAAATAGTATGGATATAGATAAATACATAGCACAATAAATGAACATGTAGATGCATATATTATCAAAAAATGTTAGGTGGGCTTAGGTTGGGTCGGGCTAAGCTCAAGCTACCTAAAGCCTCAATCCAAATCCAACTTTAGTTTAGCTCAGTCCCAAGTTTTCTGGCCTAAGCCTAGCCTGAGGCCAAAAAACTCAAGTTCAACTTATAAAAAGTCCTAGATTGGGTCAAGTTGGGCTTGCCCAAGTTGCACCCTTAATGGTTAGAGAACCCAAGGCCTTAACCATTTATAACAATGATGGGCCATGTTCCTTTCTAATCCAACAGATAAGAGGGCATTGGCAATGAGCTAGTGAAATGCATTGGGATAAGTGGGAATACCGAATGCAACCAATTAGGTGTGTGTAGTTAGGTCATAGATGAGGTAATGAAGTTGCCTTTGATATGAAAGAGGTGAAAAGGCTTATGGGATAGAAGGATTAATGTTAGAGGAAATTGTATTTTTTAATAGTGAGTGTGGAGGTGAAGTTTTCGCATATGATGATTAATGCTCTTTTAATGGTGTACGTGGAGAAAGTACATCTTTAATGGCTTAGATTGGTTGTGACTTTAATAAAAGCACAAATTACATGATTTGTAACATGATGATTAATACACCCTCATTATTTTAACTATGTCTTCTTTATTAAAATATTAAAATATAAAATTATCCCTTAAAAATTTATAATAATTTTGTGTGGAATTTGTACCCTTAACTTGACACTTTAAGTTTTTTTTTTTTTTTAATGATTGTAATTTTATATAAGCCTAAAGCCCTAATTGACTCATTTCAATTCATCCATTTGGCTGTTCTTCTTCTATTTTCACCATCACCATAAGCAAGCACCCTACACCTGTCATGTCCCCCAACCAAGGTTAGGCATGGGAAAACGCCACATGCTTACTAGCATGTAAGGTTTTACTTGTTCACCATCAAATCCAAAATTCTAACAATAACTTTAAATCAAAACAAATCATAAACTAAATGTAAAATCACATAATCTCTAATAATTCGAGTTCCATTAAATGTATAAGGTTTTAGTGAAAACTCTTGTATACAAAAAATAAATAAATAAATCTAAAATCTAACTAACTACAAGTTCTAATGTAAAGAAAATTTGTTTAGTGCTCTTTCTCTTTCAAGCAATCCCAAATAGTGGCTATTCTTCTTCGGCATTTGAAAAGGAAGAGAAGCGAGAATATTGAGTACAACCCTTATTAAGGAACATTTCATCCCCCAGTTGGACCAAGCATATGGAAGAAAATAATAATAGTAATAACAATAAATAATTCATAAAATCCCCATATTATTCACAGGATAAATTTCGAACAACTTAATTCGTCTTGGAGAAGAAAATTTTCACGTGCTTAAAAAATATCAAACTTTTTAACAATTTACAAAATCATAAGAACAATTTAGGTGGAACATATGTCATGGACTAATGTCAATATATTCAAATTCAAAGTCACATAGCAATTTCACAAGGGTAGACTATGACAACTTTCACCTCAATGATAAGGGATCACATATATGCCCTATGGTGAGGGCCCAAATTCAAAATGGACTAGTCTAAGATGCCATCGTATTCATCCCCAATGGTAGGGTCCAAAGCATAGTCATATATTATTAGAATATAATAGATGCATCAACCCACACACGAGTTTCACAAAATGACTTTAACATAAGAATAATAATATAGATGAATAAAAAATAACAAGTTCACAAAAAACAAAACAAAATGAGTCAAATTTCAGTGTATAATAGTTAACAAAAAATATCTATATTCCAAAATCATAATATTCACATGCTTGGATCCCAATTCAAAGAAACATAAGCAAACACAAATATATATAACCAAGAATTTTTTAGTTAATTTAATGATAATTGGCAAAAAGAATGAAAAGTCACTTATTCAACATATTGAGTTTAAAGTACTAGTACAAGTAGTGAGTCACGTTATATCCAAAAGCTTATAAATCAATGAATAATTGTCACCACCAATTTCAAAACTTATATTGATAAATTTATGATGTAAAAACTACAAACTTATTGTATCAGTCTGCTTAAACCTCCTGTAGTTTACTAGCTTAGGTTTTAAGATTCTTAGATTTCCATATTTGTTGTGTTCAATGAGCCAAATTTTAACACTCGTAACTTTTGGCTCAAATGTCCATTTTGCAAGTATGATATATCGTCATGAAAGTCTCATAGCGCACTACAATTTAAACATTATTCTCATCCAAAGAGATCACCTGATGGCCCCTTTTTGGTGAGCCCGAATCTCCTGTCCATGAGAACCTTACCCACGTTTATCGCAGCCATACATGGAGAACATCTCATCCTCTGCGTAGTATTATGCAGGGGGAGATGTTCCCAATTCACGGGGGTGGTGTATTGTGGATAGGCATGGGCAGAGTTCTTGTGGGTAGGAGATCCGGAGTCCTTTATGGTGGCCTAAAATTGGTTAGTTGCTAAAATTTTCTTTAACTCCCCAAATTTGGCAGATTTAGGATACCAACTTTAAAAGTTCATAACTTTTAGTACAAAACTCTAAACGATGACTTCTAGGTACCGTTTCAAAGATCTCATCAAGAACTACAATTTAAAACCAAAATTTAGAAAAAACATCACTAGAATGTCAGTTTCATGCAGCCTAAAGTCGGTTGACATCCCTTGTGTTTCAATTTGAAATTTAACCTAGCTTTTCTTCTACAAATTCAACAACACAAGGTTGGATTTGTTGTGTTCCTAATGTCAAGAGGTCTCTAATAAAACTACTTTTCTTATCAGAGATTGGCCAGAAAATGATCATCCAGAAAAATCATAATTTTAAGTTTAATATACAAGGAAACGAAAATCCAAGGGAGAAAAAGACTTACCCAAAGAGTGATTTGGTGCCAAAAATCACTAAGAGAAATCCCCAACTTGATTCTCCAACGATGGATTGTCTTCACCTTCTCTTAGGTCTAAAAAGAGAAAAAAAAAGAGATCTTGCATTAGCTAAAAAAATTAGATTTTCTTTTCTAAACACATTTTTCCTTGCTAAGAAGTCCCCCTTGAAAAGAAATTTCAAATAGCCCCCTTCTACAACACCTACTCTCCCATTATTAACCTTAGTGGCTTTTTTGGGGGGTATTACATCCTTCATCTCTTAAAAAAATAGTTTAGTCCTCTAAACTTTAAATACCCGAGTTTTCAAATAGTTGGGAAAATTTCTCTTGCATGTCATCCTCAAATTCGCAAATGACATCTCTTTTAGTGTCATGAATCCATTGGACCTTAACATAGCGAATAGTTCAATGCCTCAACACTTGTTCCTTTTGTCTACAATTCATATTGGTTGCTCCTCATAAGTAAGATCCTCTCTAAGCTATAAAGGGGGATGATCTATCACATGACTTGAATCCAGCATATATTTTCTCAACATTGAAACATGAAACACATTATGTACCCAACTAAAGATGGAGGCAAAGCAAGTTTATATGCTATATCACCAACTCTCTCCAAAATCTCAAATGGATCCACATATCTAGGGCTCAACTTACCTTGGATCCGAAAATCTCATCACTCCTTTTCAACCATCAAAAAGGCTACTACATGTTAATCGACCACCAAACAAACAAAATAAATTAGAGTTTGAACAATTGGTTATATGGTCTAAGTAATTGCTACACGTTCAAAGTAACTAGATTCTTCTTTGGACAGGCTCGTGTGTCTGTAGATTAGGAGGAGAGAAATTAGCAAAAGTCCATGCTTGCGTAGTGATATTAGGCTTGTTTAGAACAAATTAAAGTAAATGGACATCACTTAATCAAAATGTAAACGTTGAAAACTACAAAAGCTTGAAGCAATAGATGAGATACTGAGAAATTAGTTATAATTCTTTTCAAATGGTAAAATAGGAGTTTTAGAATATAAAAAGAGGTTCATGAAAGGGGAAAGGAAATAAGGATATGTTTAAGTACAATGGGGTCAGTAGGTTTATTTAAGTCTATTTCAATAATTGAGGGTATGTTTAAATCTTTAACCCTAATATTAATTTATAAACTAACAAGTAACAAGTGGCCTCCTCTAATCATCCAACCAAACACGTGTAACCACAATCTCATAACAATAAGAAAAGAATCCAAAATATATGCAACATCCTTTTATATATATATATATACATATGTTTTTGGGTTTTATTTATCAATAACTCCACCTAAAATTTATTACCCCCCTTTGAATTTTGATTCATTTCCCCACTTGCCACTATTCCAGTCACACTAAAGTTTATGGATAGACTGAACCAAAATAATAATAATAATAATAATAAATCCCAAAGAAACTTTCTAATAAAATTTGGTCCCATTTGACAGTTGATCTTTCATATTTGGACCCATTTATTTTTGTATAAATTACATAAACTCATCTTGTAATTAGGTGGTTGTAACATTTAACCCTATAAAAGGTCTCATTTGGTACATCTTTCTGTGTAGTTTGTTGGCTATTTAAAAATTCGACAGATCATATTGTGGTCTTTTTCTATTTGGTTCAAAGGAGATCTAGTCGTCAAAAGACATTGTGCCAAAAAGAGATGAAAAACCTATTTTGAACTATTTTCGAGAAGCTCCAAATGGAGCTTTTCGAATTTTTTTGAACTCGTCTTCATGTAAAAAGACATGCCCTAACTAAATAGTCTTCAAATTGTCAAGATTTTGATGCAAAAATTCACTACGTCTTTTAAGTGTCAAAGCTTTTAGAAGATATCTCAAAAAAGGTTTACCAAACGACCCCAAGCTTTCCTATAATAAAGCTCCCTGTACTCCTGGATTTAAACATTGCCCTTGTCGTTCATTCTATTGAATAGATGGAATATTCCTATTCATTTGTGCATGTTAGGTTTATGAATGATTGCATCATACTAGAAATTTATAGGCTTTAATGTGTTCGTTCGTTGACCAAACATGTTACCCATACATTTGTACAAGATGAATGGTTATTCCTAATTAGACGTGGCAATCACTACAAAAAATTACATTTCTAGCGGCAGTTTTCGAAGGGGCTGTTCGACGGCTGCCGCTAAAAATATTGATTTTAGGGGTAATCGTTTAAACCTGCCGCTAAAGATCAATCAACTGTTGCTATATAAATCACACACTTTCCCTCCTCCGCGCCTCTCCCTCTTCACGATTTGTTTTCTTCCTGCCCTTTCATCTCCCAGCCGTCTCTCTCTCTACTCTCAGTCATGTTCTTCTGGTTCGTTTTTCCCTTGCCTCGAGGAATTAATCATCGAGAGTTGCCCTAAATTTACAGTGACGCCAAGTTGCCTACTTCCTTCTCTCAAGAGGTTGGCGATTGAATCTAGCAATGCTTTGTTGATAAAACAAAGATCCTTTGAAGCCAATCTCAACTCTCTTGCTGCCCTTCGAATAGTCGACTGTGAAGAGCTTACAGTGCTACCGGAATGGTTACTAGAAAACAACAAAAGTTCTCTCCACGAGTTGACAATTACCAAATGTACCAAGCTTGAGCCTATTAACAAAGAAAGACTACAAGTCCTCACATCTCTCATCACATTGAGGATAGCTGGTTGCCCATTCCTGCTAGATGTATTATGCTTACATGAAATTGACAAATTAGGACCAGGAAAATTAATGCAACAAGTTAATCGAAGTGTTCATGAGAGAGGGGATTCAGATGCCTAATTTACATTTCTAACAACATTACCTTATTAATTGTGGTGTGGGATGCTTGTTTTCTTAATGAAAGAACTAGAAGGCAGAAGAATCGCCGAGCATATATATCTCTTTCCATTTCAGATGAATGAAGAATGAAGTGTTTATTAATTTAAGACGTTCTTTGATGATTTCCTGACATTATAAGATCAATTCGTCATCATCAGATAGATGGAGTTAAGGCTTCTACGCTCCACGAAGATCCATCAGGTTTGTCATCTCCTCTCCTTAGCAATTTCGTATATGGCAGGGTTTTGTTTGTAAGTGAGTACCAAATGTCTTCCGCGTGTTGTTAGTTCTAGTTTGGGTGTATTGTCATTCTACTCTGCTGTATGTTGTTGTGTTGTTTTCATTTCGTTGTTGGTATGTTTCTGGGAGTACTCTACTCTCAGTCATACAAAATGGACAAACAAGTAAAAGATATGCACCAAAAGAAATCTCATAAAATTAAGGTCGACCAAGTTTTAGAAAAATGAAAATCTGAAATGTTTTTGTAAGCTATGATGTTGGTAGTTTTCACAAGGAAAAAGTTTGGAAAATAGAGATTGATGTAACGTAACAAAATGAAGAAGCACTGTTTTTGAGATTAGGATAGCAAAAACACTAATAATAGTTATTAGTACAAAAATGGAAAGAAGAAGAAGAAGATAAAATGATAGAGGTAAGAAAGATGAAAGGGTATAACCTTACTACCAAAGCCAAATTTAAAGGATGTTAGAGGCTTTCTGGAACAATGGGATTCAGTCCAACATGTAGGCAGTATGATCAATAGCTAGAAAAGATAAATTGGAAATTGGTTTAAACATCATTTTTAAAGTACCAATGTTTACTTACAGTTCTCTGGCCAGGAATAATCTTTGTAACTGAGGTCAACCTTAATTGTTTTTCCTCCTTTCCAGAATACCAAATTAAAAGTTTTTCATCCTGAAACTCATGACAAATTATGTCAGAAACAGTTGATTATAAAATTCTCCGTATCAAAAGAGAAATAGCTTAATAAAATGATAAGCAAAGATTAATGATGGTCCTGAGACTTGGTGTCCAGAGACTTAAATTGGCCCCAAAATGAGACTAAAACTATACAATCCCATGATACCCTTGAAACCTTGAAAAATCACCTAAATTGGGCTTGATTGGGCCTTGATCCAGGCCCATGAAGGTCTGAGCCAAATTAGACCAGACCAATCTGGGTTATTAGAGTCTGGTCAAATCTGGATGTGGACTGGTTTTGATCTGGTCCCAGATCTAGGTTGAACCATACTATCTTGGATGGTTTTAAAGGAATAATTACTCATGCTCCATGTATGCATTCCCTGTATGTGCTCATTTAAAAATGAAGAGCTATGCAAAACAATGAAGTTCAGAAGGATGCAGTAAGCTAATGGTATCCATCCTTGTCCCTAAATACAAGTCAATGTAGTCACAGGAACCATTATTAAGGAGCACCTAGGAGGACTAGAGTTTTAGGATTTTCACTGATACTCCAGAGAAGGCTGTAAGTTTACTACCAAGGTTGCTTGTTGTATCTTGAGCCTTGACCAGAGATGAGTTTAGGGATTTTGCTGTGGATATCATAGGAGATAGCAGATTGTTGCATGGTCCTAGATGCATAGACAAATCAAGTCTTTTAATCACCACCTTATAGGGCAGTAAATTGCATGGGTCAAATCAGAGAGCTTATCTCTCCCTATTCCTTTCTTGGCTTTGTTTCTTAATAAAGCTATTGTTATTGAGAAAAAAAAAGATTCACCTGGAACCAAATTTTAAGAAAATCTTATCCATCAGATTTTAGATTAGATTCAGATTTTTCGGATAAATAGACACCAACATCCCTACCATCCTATCTGTTTTCTTTTTTCCTCAAGGAGTGATTGGGTTCAACTTTGACTTGTGTTTCCTTGGGATAGGAGAGACTATATTAGTCTTCTCATAGACAGTAGGCTCCAACAATTTGATCAGAAGAGGTTTTGGCCACTTTTCGGATGGCACTTGTATTGATGTTTGCCTTGGAATTTGCTAGGGTGGAGGTGGAAGGTTACTAATAGACATTGTGAGCCACTTCGGTACTCTTGATGAATACTGCTTATGAAATGGCCTGCTAGCCTGGACGTTACATTATTATATCAGACAGTGAACAGTCACTTGGATTCCTAGTTTGGCAGATTCTCTAGTAGTCAGTCTTGCTAGTGGTAGTGTAAGGAGGATGCTTTGTATTGGGGAGAGTTCCTAGGGTAGGTACCTTTACAAGAGATTGTGGATTGTATTCTAGTGCGCTACAGTTTTGTGTCTTTTCATGCACTCCACATCCTATGGTCCTACTCTCTCTTGTGGGCATGTCAATAATGAATTTTAGACCTCTTAACGGTAAAAGATGTATCAAACAGGGAGAAAATGGAGGAGATGATATAGGACTGGAGGCAAGAAACAGAGCCTGTTTACAAGTAGACAGTTTAGGCTCTAACTGTAAGTCCCATGTCCAACTCGTCCATTATACTTCTACAATAGCTATCCCTCATTGAACTTGACTAATTGACTGGCATAAAACCATTTATCCTTTTCCCTCAATTTCTGTTCAATCTGAACTTTAAAAACATCAAGCTTCTTGGTACATGACATCCATCTATGACTTCAATTCCCAATTCAACCATGTGGAACCCTGATTACACCAAAAATAGGTCTCTGTACCTGCATCCATGATTTTACCTGGGTTTAAAGAGATAAACTAACATCCATGCTTAATCCATCAGTCTGAAATCAAGATGTCCAAGGTATAAAACTTTAATTTCTACCCCATGAGAATCATCATCTCCTCTTTGTTGGGTGCATATACAACACTTTTTGAGTAAAAAAAAAAAGAAAAAAAAAACTTAAGGCTATGTTTGGTTTGATACAAAATAAGAGAGAAACAAAAAGTTAAGGGGAAATTCTTAACAAATTTCGTGAAATTCCTTAAGAACTTTCCTTCAAGTTTCTATTCCTCTCTCATGTTCTATCAAACCAAACACGGCCTAAGAGTACACAGGGATGGAAACGGACAGAGAACAATCTGAATTTGAAGTACAGAAATCGGAATTGAAACCATCTCTTTATGAATTAGCTGATTTGAACCATCTCTTTATGAAGTACAACCTAAGAGTAAACACAGGGATGGAAATGAACAGAGAACAATCATGATGGCTCTGTTTTCCCAATTTTCTTTTCTTTTCTTCGTCTTCCTACTCATTTGGAGATGAAAACGGGGCACTTGAATCCATCAAGAGGAACTAATGGTGAACATAATTGTTCTACACTAATTTTAGCAACGAAAACTTGGTCGGAAAGAATTAGGAAAACAAAAATCTGAATAGAAGAGCCCTGTTCATGGTGTGACTTTATTATCAGATCATATATGTTGAAAGCCTAGGATTGTCAATGAGTCAGGTCTGAATCGAGACTGGGACAAGTCCCAAATCAGTTATTAATCAGGAAAATATCATAGACCCAGAACCATCCCATTTAATAATCAGGAAAATCAGATATGATCCGATGGACCTGGTTACAATAATGGTACATGCATATTATATGAATAACAAATCAAAACTTGATTTTTGATAATATAATATTAATAAAAATGATAGTAAAATAGAAAATTATTCATGATGTTTCTTGACAGTGTAGCCGGCCAGAGATAAGTGGAAGAGGAGAGAAGAGAAGAGAAGAGAAGAAGAAGAGAAGAGAAGAGAGGAGAGAAGAGAGAAGATTTGCAATGTAACAGTACTGGCGGCGCCAGTGTTTATTTTACATATAGGGCGACAGAAATAACAAGGGAAAAGACCCTTGTGCCCCTGAGTACAATAACAAACATAACAGAAATAAAAAAACGAAATAAAAAAACACTTTAATTAGCCAAACAGGCCCTAACATATGCAACTAAGTTATTTTAACATTATTCCAACACTCCCCCACAAGTTGGAGCATAGATGTCAATCATGCCCAACTTGTCACACAAATCTTTGTGCCACACATGATGAAGACCTTTGGTGAAGATATCTACAAGTTGCTCTTCCGAGCTAACATATGGTGTGCATACTTCTCCACTTTCAAGTTTTTCTCTGATAAAATGCTTGTCCACTTCAATGTGTTTCGTCCTATCATGCAGAACTGGATTAGCAGCAATATTGATGGCAGCTTTATTGTCACAGTAGAGTGACGTAGGATTGCTTAYTRYRAAACMCAGTTCACCTAACAGATTTCTTATCCACATGATTTCCGCAACCCCATGAGCCATCGCTCTATACTCTGCTTCAGCACTGGATCTAGCCACCACACTTTGTTT